TTCCTGTCTACTCTGAACTGTCCTATGAATACAGGGTACAGAAATTGAAAAGATTTCCGTTGTTTGTAAGCAGTCAGCAATCTCTGTTGAGATGGTAATCGGGCAGCCAGGGACAAAGAAGCCTCTCGTCTTTTAGAGTCAAGTTTCACCAGGATCCTGAAACGCCTCCAGACACTTATTAAGGCAGATATAAACAGTCATATTTAATTTATTTTTTTACGCTAAAAGTTTGCCATCTTTGCTGTGAAAGCTTTTTTTTTCTCGCAGAAAATAACAATTCTTACACTCTGTTGCTTGAGTGTCACATCCTCTCCTTATACAGCAAATACACAGAACATAGACAACTGTCTAAAGCGCTCTGATGTGAGATTTACCCGAGCACAAACAAAGCGGTTTTATCTGCCTTGACTGGTTGTCCACAGACAAACCTTGCTTAAAGACAGCCATGTGGGTGCGAAGAATGAAAACTTTGTGCTGAAGGTCTTTCGTTTGCTTTAAATCCTTTGTAGTCATGCTTAATAACGAATATTTGCAATATTTCGCAGGGATGGTAGTCGATGGATTCTTTTGTTTGTTTATATAAGCGTGTGGGTGAGTGAAGTGTGAAAAGTGTGAAAATTCACACTTAACTGGGTGTAAATTGCGTAAAAACTGGATATTGATATTTTTCCCTAGGTAGAGCACTTACATCCTCACAACAGGGGGATTTTATTTCATTTTTTTAAACCTTTAAAATTGGTTGCTGAACTTCAGAACATTTGAAATGGCCATGGCCTCATCTGAGGATACATGTCCTGTTCAGCTTGTTTAGTTATTACAGTACCATGTTGGTGTCCCACGTTTTTCCTCTGTTTGAAGACCATTTCCCAGCCCCTTCCTCCTTTGTTATTTTCTCACAGGGGTCTCCAAATGCTAGGGGTCTTACTAAATTTTGATGCTCAAACTTTATTATCAGTAAATGTTACGCTCAGACCCCTTACTTTAGTTTCCATTGATCAGCAGAACCCAGAATCGGACTGAAGGGGCATATGAGTGGGAGAGGGAGTACAGGGGTGGTGCACAAAATAAGCTTAGTGACTTTACATTGCAGTGGCCTTCTTACATTTGAAGCATTCTCAAATATGCTTCTGGTATCACTTCCTTTTGTGTTCAGGACCACTTTTCAACCAGGGTTTGACATGTGCATGGCATCATTCACGTCAAGCTACGCTGTTAGGTTTTTAGACGTATTTGTGTAGGTTGAAAAGCCCTCTTCATAGGCTCTGCCCAGCCAAACACTTACAAACAGGTTAATCTTGAGGATTGACGTTAACTTTACTGGTGCTTTAGTCTGAAACTAAAGGAACAAAGGCAGCTTGTAGCCTCAAACAAAGAGAATAAAGCAGTGTTGCCCTGGTCGGATGCCCATCCATCTCTGCAACGCTTCAGGCCTGTCGTTCCACACTGGTGCCCACTGGTTTGGCCATTATTAGATTGCTGGAACTGTGTACACATTGTAAGTGACTTAAATGTATATAAGTGCAATACTTGCCCTTAGTCTCAGTGGAGCACCTGAATGAGATAAAGAGCTGAACCAACCAGTTGGCACAGACTTGTGACTGCAATTTCTTTTGCTTGCTGGTTAGCAGCAATTAAACGTTCAAACTAGGACTGAAATGACGCTGTTCTCTGACAGATAAACAAAAAATACATACAAAATTGGTTAAAAATAACTGACCGATATACTCAGGCCTGCAAATCTGGTTGTGCCTAGCCAATGGGCTTCACAAACTCCTTTTGAATCATTCTGAGAAAAAGTATAAGTGGTTGTTTTCATGGTACAAAACAGAAAGCATAAAGCGTCCTCTTGTCGTAGACTGATAAATTAAACCTATCTATAAGGCGAGTGAGTACAGGGCGTTCGGCAGATGCATTTGGTGTTGCTTGCTTGGTACATTATCAGACATAATCACTGCACCTGGTGTTCTCTTTCTGACCGTGAACTGTAAATTTGTAGATGCGTTCCTAGAAACGTACCGGCTTTACCTGAGCTTGTTAACCATCATAAATGATGAGCGTTATGATGGGAAGGTCACTCTGAAAAAATGGATCCTCTTTCTCTTACACTTAACATTACAGGTGAAACAGTCCATCAGTCTGTAAGTGCAAACGTTAATTTTCAAGGTTAAGTTACAAAAGATAAATAAATTTAAAAAAACATACATTTAAAATTAGTCAATATTTGATGCCTTTGGAGGCACGTTGATATCAAACTAAATATTATTACTCTTTTATCTGACAAATGAAATTAGTACCTCTGGCATTTTTATGAACATATACCAAGTTAAGGGTTGACTAAAGCATTAACATTTTTTTTTTTTT